CGTAAGTATACCATGTCCATGCAGTGCCCAGAGGCTAGAAGGGAGCATTGGATCCCTGTAACTGGAGTTATGGACAGTTGTTAGCTGCCATGTAGCTGTTGGGAACTGAACCTAGGTCCTCTGCAAGAGTAGCTAGTGCTCTTAACCACTGAGCCATCTCTCCTACCCCTATTTTATATATACATATATTTTGAACCACATTTAAAAAGCTTACCTTATTTGAACTTTATTAATGTTATAGTATTTACATCTATAATTCATAAACATTTTATTTTATCAGTATAAAATGTATTTTCTTAGTATATATTCAGGTAGCATTTTAATAAAAATAAATTAAATGAAAAAATGTAGCTACCTTTAAGCACTTTTAGCCAACTGACTCAACTGTCTGTACTCAGAAGGTAATACAGGCTGTGTTCATTCCAATCCCCCAGAGACAAGCACATTTACATCTCCTAAAAGTCGAATCGCATTTGTGTCCATTGCTGCCTCTCTATATGGCTAATTTGTATATAAGGAAGTTAAAATCATCCTATTGGTCACACTTTAATTAAGCATCAAAATTCCTATACAGTACTAGAAACTATTAATTTGGACCACTTGACTTCATTTGATTTCAAAGACTGGTTAGTTTTAATCTAAATGACTAACATAAATATTACTCTTAATTTACCACAATGTCTCCTAAAGAAAACAAAGCTTTGGGATTAGCCTCAGAACCAGTTTTAAATGCTTGCTATTTTGAAAATTCCTTTTAAATCACTAGATGCCCCACAGGGTAAGTGAACAAAGTGAAATCCACCTAATTAAGTCACAGGAGAAGCAGCACAAAGTATTAGCCATTTACTTTTGCAATTTATTATATCAACAATTCACACTGGGCTTAAATTAACGTGAGGGACTGGAGAGATAGCGGGGCGATTAAGAACACTGACTATTCTTGCAGAAGACCCGGTTCAAATCCCAGCACCCACATGGCAGCTAACAACTGTCCATAACTCCAGTCCCAGGGGATCCAACAGCTTCTTCTGTACTCTGTGGGCATTGCATGACACAGGTGCACTTACTTACATGCAGGCAATACACATAATTAACAATGTGAGAATAGTTTGAAAGATCTGATATTTACAAAATAGTTTGTTTTTATGTACTGCTGTCCTACCCCTAGCAATCTGTTGCATGTGTTGAGCAACTCTTCCAACGCTGGTAGTAGATCTAGGAAGACTTCACATTTAGCTCTTCCCAGACCAACAGTTTGTATGTCAAAAGGCAAGGATACAGGCTATACATTTCACAAAACAGACTGCCATATTCAAAAATTAACCTATGGTTTGACCTTATTTATGCTCTAAGCTAAATTGTAAAACCTAGGATTTTTTAAATTAAAAGAATTATAAAAAGATTAAAAAATCAACATATTTTATTGTTTGTTTTGAGTCAGGATGACAGTCAATAGTCCAAGTTGTCCTGAACTCACTATTGTAGCCCAGGCTGGCCTCAAACTCCTGCCTCTCCCAAGTGCTGGTATTACAGGTGTGAGCCACCATACCTGGTTCAAAAAGCAACCTACTTTTATTTAAAGCCTCAGTTCCCAAGAAAATATTTCTGGTGATAAGGTGCATCTATTATCAAACTACTCTTGGGATATTTAGACTGTAACCTCGAGGGAAGGAACACAACTTATTCTACCAGAGTTGTTGCACACTAAACCTGTCTAAATGATAGTATCACATCTACCGCACATTGTTTTTGTGTGTGTGTGTATGTTTGTGTATGTGTGTACGTGTGCGCACACGCCTATAGAAGTCAGAGGACAACTTTCAGGAGTTGGGTTTCTCCTTCCACCTTTACATGGGTTCTGGGAGTTGAACAGAGGTCTCAGGCTTGGCAGGCAGTAAGTGCCTTTATCCACAGAGCCATCTCATCAGCCCTGCAGAGAGTTTATCACAACAACTTTGATTTTTATTCATTGCTTCTCATGACTCTGTAAACTCTGGAAATTTGCCTAAGGTCCTTTTATACCATTAATGTTCCCTCTAGAATGGGTATGTTGAAATCTAATTCCCACTGTGTTGGATTTAAGAGGCAGGTCTTTTAGGAGGTAATCAAATTATGGGGACTCCACATTCATGAATGGTATCAAGTACTTTTCTAAAATGAGCTGATGATATGGCATGTGAGGGCACAAAGGCAGTGCTGTACAGAAGGCTGAGTGCCTGCACCAAGCATCAAATTTGCCTAGCACCTTGATTTTTGGGCTTTGCAGGCTCCAGACTTCTAAACAATTAATTTCTGTTGTTTATAAATTACGCACTCTGAAAATAAGGTGTGATACTCAGCTGTAATCCCTGCACTCAGGAGTCAGAGGCAGGAAGGCTGTCACAAATTTGAGGTCAATCTGGATTACACAGAGAGTTCTAGGCCAGACTAGATTACCTTGCAAGACCTTGTCTTAAAAGAGGAAAGAAAAAAAAAAAAAGCAAGGCGTGGTGGTGCACGCCTGTAGTCCCAGCACTTGGGAGGGGCAGGGAGATCTCTGTGAGTTCAAGGCCAGCCTGGTCTACATAGTGAGTTCCAGGCCAGCTGGGGCTACAGGGAGACCCTGTCTCAAAAAAAAAGAAAAAAGAAAAAAAAGAAAAAAGAAAAGAAAAGAAAAGCCAATGAGATGGCTCAGTAGTCAAGTAAAGTGCCTGGCAACTTGAGTTTGATCCTGCAACCAATGAAAAGTGGAAGGAGGGAAACCAATGCCATAAAGTTATCCTCTGACCTCTACATCAACACATCACACACACACACACACACACACACACACACACACACACACACACACATACACACACACACAAAGCAACAACAAATAAAATTAAATAATAAAATAAACTACCCATCCCTTGGTATTTTTGTTATAGCAGCCCAAGTGCACTGAGGTCTGAAAGGGAAGCAGTGACTTTTCCATAAACTACTACTGTTAGCATCTCTTCTTGCTTGTGCTTGGTGCAAAGCCACACTTCTCACAAGTGCTCTGCATTCACGTGGAGTCAGCAAACTGTGAAGGCACACTCTGTGTTTAGTTTACTACTTGTGCTACAGGGGATTAGAAAAAATTTTTTTTCAAGAAATTTAGCTGTGACTTAAAATCGTTTTAAAAGTTCTCAAAGAAAACAAAAAGCAATTAATCCAAAGAAAACAGCATCCAGCAGTTCTAAAATGAGTGGCATGTATTAAATGGCAAGCTAATAAAACATATTTTAAAAATCCGATCAATTTATTTATAACATTATAAATGTCTGAGATTATATAGCTTTTATGAAATGCAGCAGGTTATTGGTTCTTTATGAAAATCCACTGAGTAATGTTAATAGGAAAGAAAATTCATTTCTTCCCTAATGCCAAAACTTTTAAAATTAAAGTGAACCGACACACTTCCTCCTGCCTGCTTTCTGCATCCTAATGTGTTTTTCTGTTTTCCCTCACGCAACACTCATCTATCTGATTGGTGGCTGTTTTGTCTCTAACCTAAGAAACTTTATTTTTGTTTGGTAGAGTACGTATTAGTGACTTTGGTTTGAAATGCTCCAATTATGATTATGTACATAACAAAAGAGGTTTAAATATAATCAAAAATTTTTTCCTTGAAAAAAACTTCTAATGACTAATCTATCCTAGTACACAGAGGCAGAGACAGAAAGATCAGGAGTTCAAGGCCAGCCCACATTAATGAGACCCTGTCTCAAAACAACTAAACTAACAGACAAATAAAAAAGGCACTCTGAATTTTGGATATCTTAACTTGAACAATTCCTATAAAATATAAGTCCCTTGCATCTTCATTTAAAATGAGGACTCCATCATTAAGTTTATGCATGAGGCCTTCTCCTCGCCATGCTTGCCTGCCCATCCCACAGTTAGAGGAGGCAAGATATTTGGTGAGGCATGTGTTTATGAGTAAAGTCAGGAAAATTCCAACTTTAAAACCAAATATTTTCCTTGTTTAATTCTGGTATCTTTTTGGTCCATATGCTGCCTCCTCCTCACAGTATGGTACCAAAATCACTTAGAGTCTGGCTTGCTTTGGAACATGACAATATCATCAAGCAACCAGAACTGAAGAATGGAAATGCTGGATGAGAAGGTAGAGCAAACAGATGATGATTTAAATGCATACCGACATTCTCCCTGAAGACACTTGGTGCACCATAAATGCTTGTTGAAGTACTGTTTGGCAGTATTTGCTGTGATGGATTCATTCTTGCCTCTAATTTAAGAAGCTTCATGAGTTAACCACAACCAGTTCAGTACTTAACAGAAAACAGCTGCTTAAGGACAGCATCTCACAAAGTACATCTGCTGCTATCCTCACTGTAGCAGAGAAAGTGAGGCTCTTACAGAGGAACATCACAAGAGCTGAGAACTCTTATTATTTGCATGGGCAACTGCTTGAGACTATCCCCACTACTGGGCATGGTACAGAGCACCCACACACTCTTCTTCTAGTATGCTAGCTAGATTTCAGCTTCTGTAATTTACACAAGTGCAAATCGTATAGAGTGCCTATGTACTGCAAAAGAAAATCTTATTTCTGCCTCTAAAAGGTTCATAAGAGTATGAGAGTCCCATCAAAGTATGCTATTATGTTAATTGACTAGGTTGGCCATGACTATCAGGCAAATAAATGGTAAGTTGGAGAAACAATTGTTTTTTTTTTCGTCTTTTTGAGACAGGGTCTCCCTGTAGCCCCAGCTGTCCCGGAACTCACTATGTAGACAGGCTGGCCTTGAACTCACAGAGATCTGTCTGCCTCTGCCTCCCGAGTGCTGGGATTAAAGGCATGAGCCACCACGCCCAGCTGGAGAAACAACTGTAACCCTTTTTATGAGTACCTTAAAGCTTTTAGAGCTACAGTTTGTATGTATCCAGAACTTCAGATATACCAGCAGAGGACCATCAAACTTAATTCTGATTGTAAAAGTAGTTTACATTCCAAACTGAAACAAACTTACCTGCATTGAAATAAGAACGAAATCAATTAGGCTCCCAATTCCACAAAATCCTACGGTGCAAAACTTTAACAAGCCTAGAAAAGTACAAGGTAAAATCATTACAATTTATAATCTTGTAAGTATTAAAAATGTCTACATTTTTCTAAAAATCAGAATATATGCTACAGACTCTATGGTAAGATGATGAAATGTAGTATCTTTTAACAAAAAAAATCAAATCTTCACCTAAAATATAAGTTTAAATATAATAATTTGATCAGAGGGACATAAAGGACACTTTTTGCTCCTTGCCCTCCTAGGTCGACTAGCTCCAGGGGACTATGGGCATCTCTCAAAATGTCCTGTAATTGTGGTGGGTCACCTGTCCTCTTGATTAAGGAAATCAAGGAGACCCCAGCAGATGGACTTGAACCAGTGTCCAGTCTACAAAGGAGGGTCAACACAGAGGAATCATTTCCTCCATGTTTCCAAGCAAAGCCAGCCATGGTCGAGCAGGACC